CACAGAAGCGAGCGACGAAGGACCAGACGACTCGGCCTGCAAAAGGGTATCCGATGACGAGTTCTCCCCATCCAAATGAGCAGCCAAACTATTGTTAGTTCGACGAGCAGTCATTGTACAAGCAGAAAAACAGCAAGCAAGCAAAACCAAAGCACAAACTGGCAGGCAAACAGCAAGCAATTGAAACAACACTTTGCGAAGAACTGCAAGCAAGCAACTGCGTATATAAGTCACGAGGTGCCCCTGCTGGATACATCGGGCCACCCCTAATATAGCAGGGGAAACGGCTGACCAGCATTGCTTCGAGGTTAACTTTGCCTAAATTACATTTAGCCACATGAAACTAAAATGCAACCGTGTTAGATCTTAACCAACAACAACACGCTCGATGGTTTTATTTATAGGTTACATCGTTTTTGCCGGGCAAGGATAACTTGATGCTGATACAAATTACTGGAGCAAGTGTCAAATTTATAGGAAGCAAGTATATTCAAGAGAGCTTTATAAATATGAGCTTACTGCTCTACATATCATAACTGAATAAAAATTAACACTTCATAACATTTCACTTCGTTTACTTCAATCAGTCAACACCTTGAATCCAAAGTTAAAATTCAAAACAATCCTAATAAACAAATCACAACTACTACTGAAAGCTCTGTACCTTGAAGTGACTTTAACTTTCCTAAGGTTTGCAGCAAAACACTGCTTGATAGCTCAACTCTTCGGCGGTCCTTAGCAGCTATATGGTGCTATGTGTTGCATTTTCCAAACTCTGCAGAGGGAAATTGTTTAACAGGAAAAGAAAACCACACACTATGTCTGAAAAGTGACAAACAATCAATAAATTTGCGAACTACCAAAATATGATAGTGAGAAACAGTCCCGCCTTCGACCACCATGTTTTTGTTTCTTCTCAAGACCGCTGATCTATGGTTTTTGATGTAATGCGCATGATCAGTACACAAATCCGTTGGCAAGACCCGTGCTGATCGCTTTGCAAGTTGTGAGAACATCGTTTGGATTTCATTTAAGAGAATATATGGGAAGTAGCTTCCCCCGCTGCCCCTGATATATGAAAAATAAATTTTAATATCTTCCCCACATTTATGGTCACAAGACTGTCCATTAGTGGCACAATTAAATAGAACTACAGATTTGCCAGACAAAAAGAAATTTATTGAAACATAATTTTTTAGAAAATTATGTTTTACAAAAATGTACATTTTTATGGCTGTCTTTCGTAACATTTGTGTGCACAAAATTCAGATTTTGAAAACATGTCATATGTTTGCCATTACCAATCTGAGCAGGATTAATATCCTAATACATCAAAATTATGTAAGGATTTTAGTTGAATACTGTCACACTTTGTGAAAGGAAAGCCATTTATGAGAAAAATGAGCATTTCTGAACCAGTGTACTAATGTCACGCTCTACGTTTCAATCCACAAAATCAGAAATATGCCTTGAGATTTTAACATACAGGTTTCTGCAACGATCAAACAGCCTTGGAAAACGGGATGTTCTCCTTTAAAACAGTCAATCCTGAAAGTTTTAGGTAATTTCGTCTTCATGGCTATCCTGAAAATGAACAAAAATTCTATTTCCCAAACACTGTGAAAGGCACCATGTTTACACGAGATTTTTGGAAGGAAGGCAAACAGTTGCCACATGCAAAGCACATGCAAAACGCATGCAAACCGACTATGCTGATTTTCTTGATGTGTCATTCTCTTCTCACAACAACTGTAATTAGCAACTGTTATGGTAAAATATAAGAAACTGTGTGCGCCACAAGCAATTTTCTGAATCCCAAATGTTTTGAAACATTCCAAGGAAGGTTTCAAGTTACATTCAGCAACATTGATCACGAAGAGACGCATCAACCTCGCAAACTTTGTCCACCACTTCAGTGTTCTCCCGCAAAGAATTAAATTCACTGCCCGAATCAAGCAATGTGGCACGAAAATTAACATAACAGGGTGCGAAGATTATGAAAAGACTTTCGCACAAATAGAGTCTGATTGTACGTTGAGATTTGGCTGGACATGTAAGGTTCTTATGAAAAGCATTTCGTACACTAAACAGTCAAATTTGTTCCTGCATTTCTTAACCACTTGGAAACGTTTCAGCAGGTCCCGAGGGATTGTCTTGTAATGTTTGCCAGTGGCAGAGGACTGTTGTTTATGTCCTTTTACATGATTGTGGAAATGTCCGCATGTGTAACCTACATAGCCTGCATCACAAAGGTCACATTGGAAGTTATAAACTACACACTGTTCATTTACGATCGGTGGGTTTGCTTCTTTCACATTCAGTTCTTGTTCAATTTTCCCGCTGGCAAACACAGGCTTGATGGTGGTGTTTACTTTTAGGCTCAGATCCTTGAGTTGTTCTTTCACAATATCTGCTGAGATTTGGTCTTTAAATGGTAAACCACTCGAACTGTGTCGTCCGTCTCTTTAGCTGGTGATAAAGGTCGCTGCTGGTCACAAACCTTTGAGTCAACTAAACTTTTAATGTTAGAGTTGACNGTTTCAGCAGGTCCCGAGGGATTGTCTTGTAATGTTTGCCAGTGGCAGAGGACTGTTGTTTATGTCCTTTTACATGATTGTGGAAATGTCCGCATGTGTAACCTACATAGCCTGCATCACAAAGGTCACATTGGAAGTTATAAACTACACACTGTTCATTTACGATCGGTGGGTTTGCTTCTTTCACATTCAGTTCTTGTTCAATTTTCCCGCTGGCAAACACAGGCTTGATGGTGGTGTTTACTTTTAGGCTCAGATCCTTGAGTTGTTCTTTCACAATATCTGCTGAGATTTGGTCTTTAAATGGTAAACCACTCGAACTGTGTCGTCCGTCTCTTTAGCTGGTGATAAAGGTCGCTGCTGGTCACAAACCTTTGAGTCAACTAAACTTTTAATGTTAGAGTTGACGAGGTGTTTGGGGTACTTTAAATGTGAGAATGCTGTCTTCAATCGGTTACATTCGTCTGAGAAGTGTGACCAACAAGAAGATAAATGATATGCTCAATCCAGCATTGTTCTCAGTAAACCCTGTTTGTACCGATTGTCAACGTGACTCTGCTATTGTAAGAGCAGACTTGAATTCATGGGTTTTACGTACACCTTTGTCTCTATTTGAGGTGATCGATTCAGTAACTGGATGCCCAGAAATGGGAGCATGCCATTGCATATGGTTTCCATCGTGAATTTTATGGAGGAATGTGCCTTGTTAAGCGTCTCCAGGAAGTTGGATGCTGTTTCTATATTCGGCATAATGGTGAGCGTATCATCAACATGCCTTTGATAGAAGGAAGGGAGTTTACCCTCTTGCTCAAGTGAAAAATTCTTGAGTGAAAAATTAATATATCTCAAGGCACTGGTAGAGTCACTGACATTTGTATATCACATTAAATAAATGAGGCCAGAAACTTTAAAAGAAACTTCGATAATCCGTTTCTTATTATTGGTGTTGTGTTCAAGTAATTAATTCAAAGCATTCTAAATGCACCCTTACTTGGCAGCCTACGCAATGGGTACAGGCTGTCTTTTGATCGCCAGGAACTGTTCACACAGTCCTGTTACTTTTTCCTTGGAAGCATTACAATCGTGTGCTAATTTGGAACTTCTGCAGGTAATTGAGCATCAAATCTCTTGGAACAAAGTTGACATAAATTCAAATTGGGATAGGGCAGTTGTTGTTATAGAGGATAAAATTAGTGCAGTAAGCCATCCAGTGTTTTCAAAACTTAATGAAAGGTCTTTTGCCTGTCTAAGAGTCAACCTGTATGATCCAGTATATCTACTCCTTCCATGTGCTTGTTGTACATGGTTTACGGAGCTATTTGGTGCTTCCATCCCTTCTTTTGTGGTTAACAGTACCTGCTGGTATTCCTGTGGTGAATGGGTACACCTTTTTTTGTTTGCAAGCAGAGTTCCTGTCACAAGGGTCTGTTTTTTTTGTCCAGAAATTCTGCAAGAGTGGTAGCATGCTTTGTTAAAATACCTACATTAGTCATGAGGTATTTCATGACATCAAAAGAGTGGCCACATTTTGGTGATGGACCTGAACGGTTCTTTCCACATTACACAGATGTATTACTCTGTCCTGTAGCAGAATCATTCACTGATACAAATGGGCATCCCTTTTGTGGTGATGTTCATTGGGTACATACTGGATAAGTTCAGGTGAAGTTTTTAAACCAACTAAACGTTCATCAATGGATATTAGCTGTGTCTAGGAACAAAGTACTGTACCTGTTGCATCCATCATTAAATACATTCAACGCAAAGCTGAACTTGCGTTAATGTGTCATACCTTTCAGAGTCACTTTGTACTTCTGGCTTAGTGTTATTCAGGGTATGTATCTATTTGAATTGTTTAATGTGAACATATTGGATACATATGTACCAAGAAAATATCTATTCTCGATCTTTTCCATCGACATTTTTGACATCTGCAACTGTCTGTATGTGTTCTTAGGGTTGGATGTTTACTTACTAATAATAATTTATTATTTATTAGGTGTAAAATAGCATTCAAATATATGATCTAATGTGCAAAGTTGTTGGATACTTGTCATACTGAAAAGGGTGGGTGAAGTGACACCAAATCCAAAAACGTGGCAGTTAGTTGTGTCAAATTTACCATAATAGTGAATGATAACAATTTTTTCACTTACATGTATAATGTGGAAGTATCCATAACAATGAGCAAATGCACATGTACATCAAAGAATACCAGGTGATAAAAGCATAATAGATTTATTTACAAAAAATAAATACAAAACTATATACACCAATACAATTAAATTTGAATTCCTGTAAACTTTAACCTTCTGCAAATTTTGATTTTTTTGAAAAGGGCTGCAATGTTGCCCAAACAGTTGCACTGCTCACACAATCTTTGGTTTGGGCTATTGCGTGATTTCTTCAAACAAAAGGGTGACATTGAGCTGAACAATAAAGCAGCCCATAGAACTCCCAATAACATGGTTTCCTGGTTTATTCCGCTTCAATCTAACTCACAAAACTGTCTCAAAACTCGATGAAAAAAACCTCAAAGGAAGACTCGCCCTNTTGGTTTGGGCTATTGCGTGATTTCTTCAAACAAAAGGGTGACATTGAGCTGAACAATAAAGCAGCCCATAGAACTCCCAATAACATGGTTTCCTGGTTTATTCCGCTTCAATCTAACTCACAAAACTGTCACAAAACTCGATGAAAAAAACCTCAAAGGAAGACTCGCCCTCACTGTACTATTTTCGACTCGTCCAGTTCTAGCTAACTCAGCACGCAGGTGCTCATTATCTTATTTGGTTGCCCTAGCCCTAATTTGGTAGTGCTGATCAACGTCACAAAACTGTGAGGGGTAGGGTTGGTAAATCTCTCATACAACATTGAATTTTCATAAGCATAACTGTATCAATGATAGTTTGAGACATCAAAAACATAAATAAAAGAGCCAGCTTACAAAGCACAACAATTAACTTTGATGAATGAAACAAACAGAACAGACATTAATTTTGAGCACACTTTACATTACTTTAAACAGGGAACTTCTTGTACAGGTGGCATGGTGCATTAAAAGTCTTGTCATTCTGGTCAGGTGTTTTAGATAAAGCTGTTTTTGTAGGTGGCATTATGGAAAAAAGTGTCAATTTTGACTGATGAGGAGAAAGAAAAACACAATTAGTCTTGTTGACCAAAGCAGTGCACCACCCTAGAAAAATCACCTACAATGAGCCACTGTAAAAAAGGTTGGTTTTGACATGGCTTTCAAAGCTGATTCTTCTTTTGAATAATTTACTAACATAGCTTTAAATTAGAACCTGTATTTTAGGGTAAATGACAAATTAATAAGTCTTATTAATTTGTCATTTACCCTAAAATACAGGTTCTAATTTGCAAGTATTGTAAGGGAAAATTGGCCTCTAGTGCAAGAAAACTCTAGCAATATTTCCAATAAGAGTATTGTTACATGTACCTCTACAAATGGTACCATAGGCATTAATTCATCTCTTAAGCAGCCTCATCTTCTGCCTCATAGCTGGTGAATTTTATTACCAGTAAACTAAAATTATGCTTCTTTTGAAAGAGGGTGCAGCTGTCGCCCAGACTGATGCCCAGCTGAAACCACTTTTTATGTGGGCCATTAACATGATTTTCTTCAAACAATATGGTGACTTAGAATTTTGGTTTAGTAGCCAAATTGCCTTAACAGTGAAAGTAAACTGTTGGAAGTATTTATGTGGTAACTGCGTCAAAAAATGAAAATGACAAATCTCTGAATTGTCTGTGGGTAATTTTTGTTACACAAAGGATCATGTGATGCTCTGGGACTCATAATTGTTGGCCCTGGGCCTGTGGTTTTAGAGCTGTGTGTGTCCCAGGAATCATTTGTAAGGAATTTAACTAACTCGTTTGGTCTTAAGCTGACTGAGCAAAACACATCTTGAATGTGTTACTTGGATTTGAAAGTGTTAGGACAATGAATTAGTCTTACCTCTTTCTCAAATGTTCGCCATCCCAAGGACGTCTAGCATGTAAAGTGATTTGACCAAGTGAATTTCTAAATTGCGTGAGTTCTCTACTGTATAGATACATGTAAATCCACTGTATGGTTGTTTATAACTGATGTTGTTTTCGAGATTTGTAGCCACAGCTAAATGCTTGTAAATTTTAACATTCTTTTCACTGTTTGAAGATGCTGGATACAAAAGTCCACATTAAAATTCTTATGATGGCACTTCCATTCAGTGTTTCGCTGGTACTTACTGGGTAAATGACGATAGTAATGTGGTACTTTATCCATGACCAATTTTGCTTTGGGAACAGGAGTTTGGTTGAGTTGTCGGGAGCCAATTCCGTCATAATGCCATATGTCACATATTCCCCTATATAACCATGGAAAAATAGTGTTTTTGACCATCCGGGCCACTGGAAGTTGGCCTTTTTTTTTGCACTCATCCTCTGCCCATTTCACAATCTTGATCGCAGTGTGCCTTTAAAAGTCAGGAAGTGTCATGACTCAAATCATTGTGGTCTGCAGTGCTAAGAAAAAAGCAACATTAATTGTAAGCTCAAAAGATAAACATTTAAACTAAATTTATTTGCACAACTTTTTTTATAATTTTCCGAAAATATTTTATTATTGAAATTACACCAAAACAATAATCACTTATATTGTGCAAGTATACATAACAATGATCAAATGCACATGTACATCAAAGAATTCCAGGTGATGAAAGCTTTAAAAAATGTTTTTACATTGAGAAATATAATAAAAATATATACACTACTATAATAAGAATCGAAAACATCAATAGGCAACTTGTAATTTGCTATTTTTTGAAAAAGGCTGCAATGCTGCCCAAAACAGATGCCCTGGTAACACAGCCTTTGGTGTGGGCCATTGACACGATCTTGGTCAAACAAAGGGTGACATTGAATTTTGGTTTATTAATGAAATTGCTTGAACAGTGAAGCTAAAATGTTGGATGTATTTATCTGGTAGTGTTGCTTAGAGGGATAAAAAAAAAATAAAAATGACAAATCTTTAAATGCTCTACATGTTATTTATTTTGCACAATGGTACAGGACTCAAATATGTGGCTCTGGGTAGTCTTTGCCCTGGACGTATTAGTTTTATAGCTGTGTGCGTCTGAGGCTTCATTGTTGCTGTTTTCATGATGGATAACTGAACTTGTAGGTATGTTCTCACATTTGCAATGATGTAAAGTGTACTTCCCCTCCACTGTATTTATACTCTTATGAAACTCTTTGCTGAATGAGCTGTTTGGTGATAGATATTTTGGTGTAAACAAAGGTGTTTTACAGGTTTTTTAGACTTGTGAGGAAAAAAAAACAGAATTAGTTGTTGTTGACCAAAACAGTAGAAGCTAAAAGAAAATCACCTACAATGAGCCACTGTAAAAAAGTTTGAGTTGACATGGCTTTCAAAGCTAATTCTGGTTTGAATAATTGAGCAAATAATTTTTTTTAAACTAAAATAGCACTACGGTAGTTCTTCACCTATAAGCTGAGCAATTTTTTGGATTTTGACACAAAATGTTGGGAGATTTTTCACAAAGAATGGGGTTCGTCTACAGGTTATTTTTTGCACGAGGGTACAGGACTGTTATATGTGGCTTTGGAACTCATAATCATAGACCCTGGGCTGTTGGTTTTAGAGCTGCTGGGAACCCAGGAGTCACCACTGCTGTTTTCAAGATGGTTAACTAAACTAATAGAATCTAATAGTAGATTTGGGGTTGTCTTACCTCTAGTACTTAATTCCTGATCATTAAAAGTAAATGCAAAACTACATGAACTGGTAATGTTCTCCTCATTTTCTGCTGACTTCTTTGCTGCGTCTTTGGCAGGCTTCAGTTTTCTACAGTCCCTTGTACTGTGGGAGGAGTTCTTCAATTTGTGACACTACTTTGGCTCTTTGGAGTAGCAGTCCTTGCTTTCATGCCCTCTCTTGGCGCATTTAAAGCAGTTTCCTTGGAACCTTTGCTTTGTGGCCATCACATTGTCACTCTCGCCGTTATCTGGGGTTCTATTGCAGCTCTTCTCCGTCTCCTCGTGGTTTCTGAGAGCTGTCTTGAATTCACGGAATGTCTGATTTGCCTTTCTCTCTTGGTCACCACGGTCACAAACGTTTTGTAGGCACTGGGTAGTCCTTTTAGGCCATGGCTACGAGCAATCCATCACTGATCACTTCGTCTGCTGCTTTCAGTGCTGTTGCAGCTTTTTCGGCTCGCAGGATATAGTCTGTTGTAGACTCTCCTTCTCTCATCTCTAGTGAGGTGAGTTCAGTGTAAAGTGCCATGATGCGCGGTTTGCCCTTTCCTTGATAATGTTCTCGCAGGACTTGTAGGGCTTTTCTTCCATCATCCTTCACCTCTCGGATCACGAGGGCCAAACTTCTATCGTCCAAACATTGGACAAGCTCAGCAAAGGCATTTGCCAGCTTTCCCGCATCGGAGGCTTCTTTCTCGCTCTCTACTCGCACTACTACTTCATGCAACTTCTGGAGGTGCATGTAGCCCAAGAACTCCACCTCCCAGAGTTTGTAGTTGTTTTCATCCCCGTCAGACATGAGTGTTCTCCTGGTCCCATAACCTGTTAGGCTGAGCGATGCCGCCATAGTTTTCACACAAGATAATGTACCACTCAGGTAGAAGTAACAACACTGATTTTATTTGTCTTGGTAAATCATATTTATACACATTATTATTAAGGAGTTTCTTAAGCGGATCTACATAGCAAACCAAAGGAACATTTTTGGCACATAATAGTCAAGCGATAATGAAAGCGGCGGATTACACTGCGGTTTATACTAAGACTATTAAACATAATGGTGATACGATAATAATATTGTGATATCAGAGCACGTATTTTAACAAGGACAATGAATTAAGTCTTACTTCTTTCTCAAATGTTCCTAATCCCAAGGACGTCTTGCAGTGTGAAAGGATTTGACCAAGTGAATTTCTAATTGGGTGAGTTCTCTGCTGTATACACACTCGTAACTCCACTGCGTGGTTGTTTAGAACCGATGCTGTTTTGGAGATTTGTAACCACAGCTAAATGCTTATACATTTTTACATTCTTTACACTGTTTGGAAATGCTTAATGCAAAAAATCAACATTAAAATTCTTATGATGGCACTTCCATTCAGTGTTTCGTTGGTACTTCATGGGTAAATGACTATAATAATGTGGTACTATATCCATGACCAATTTTGCTTTGGCAAGAGGAGTTTGGTGGAGTTGTTGGGAGCCAATTCTGTTAAATTGCCATCTGACATATTCGCCTATATAACAAGGGAAAGGTAACATTTTGACCATCCGGCCCACTTGAAGTTTGCCTTTTTTTTGAAACTCGTCCGCTGCCCATTTCACAATTTTAAACAGAGTTGTGTCTTTAAAACTCAGGAAATGACGTGACTCAAATCATTGTGGTCTGCAATGCTGACAAAAAAACAACATATTTGTTAAAACAATATAAACTGTGCACATTTCATTAAAACTAAAATGAAGGAATAACAAATATTTATATCATTAATTCATTTAAAGTTTAAAAGATCAACATTTAAACTAAATTTATTTGCATAACTTTTTTTTTTACTATTGAAACTACACCAAAACAATAATCACTTGTATTGTGCAAGTATCTATAACAATGATCAAATGCACATGTACATCGAAGAATTCCGGGTGATAAAAGCATAAAAAATGTATTTACAATAAGAAATAGAATAAAAATATATACACCACTATAATGCGAAACATAAATATCATTAACCCGAACCAGTTCGCTTACATGGAGGGTCGATCAACGCTTTCGGAGCTTCTTTCTTGATACGACGATTGGGCAAAATCACGCAACAACAGAAAGCCAACTGACATCGCCTTTTTGGATTTTTCCAAGGCGTTTGACAGGGTACCGCATGAACGTCTTCTTCTCAAGCTTGAGCGTCACAGTATCAACGGCAGTGCTCTCCAGTGGTTTCGAAATTTTTTAAACCGGTTGGATGCAACGCGTCGTCCTGCGTGGCACTTGCTTGTCCTGGTCTCCATTTTTATCTGGAGTACCCCAGGGAACAATCCTTGGACCCGTCTTATTCATTTAATACGTAAATGACATCTCGTCAGGAATTTTATCAACGGTTTAGCTGCATGCAGATATGCAGATGATACCAAGGTTTATAGAGAGATCTCCGACATAGCTAGAGACACAAGCATCCTTCAGTCCGACTTATTCCACCTTAGAAATTGGTCTGAGGTCTGGCAGTTAAACTTCAAAGCGAAGAAATGTGAAATTATGCGAGTTACACATAATCGTGATAAATCTGTCCCACATTACTCCCTCGTCCTGCATGCAGAAAGTCTAAGCTCAGTGAGTTCTGTAAAAGACCTTGGCATCACAATCTTGCATGACCTCTCGTGGACTTTTCATGTTGTTGAGGTTGTCAATAAGGCCAATAAAGTTCTTCATCTAATCAAGTGTACAATCGGTTCTGTAAACAAGCAAATCCTTTCCACATTGTACAAGGCTCTTGTGAGGCCAATCCTCGAGTACGCTTCCCCTGTATGGTGCCCTTACCTAGTTAAGAATATTGTTCTCTTAGAGAAAGTCCAGAGAAGAGCTTCTCGATTGGCCTTAGGTCAGCGAAGGGGAGAGATGTCATACGAAGATCGCTGCAAAATGTTTTGGTGGTCGCAGTTGACTGATAGAAAGTTATATTTTTCTCGGATTGAATGCTATAAACTTGTATTGGGATTGAATAGCCTTTGTTTTGGCGATTTTTTTGAGTTCGCTTCAAAACGTACCAGGTCCAATCACAACTACAAACTGCAAGTGAGATCGGCAAACTGCAATTGTTATTAATACTCTTTTTTTGTTAAAATTATTCGTGAATGGAACGACCTGCCCGCCAATGTTGTTGAGGTAGGAAATTTAAGACGTTTTAAAATAGCTCTTAAATTGTACATGCGTATTTCTTAGGTTTTTATCCATCTTAGATCTTAGATTTTATTCATAAGTATATATTTTTAGTTTTTATTTTTGGAAGTTTATTTACATAGGGTTAACCTCTTAAACTTCCTTTTTAGGGTATTATTTGTGTCGTTTATTTCTTATGATGCCTTAAATAAAGTATGTATGTAATGGCACGCTTTAGAGTACCAGTCCTTACCTCAGGTTCTTCTGTGTCCTTATCATCTTCATCTTCAACATCATTAGAGCTTTCAGATAATCTCAGTTTCTTTATGGCTCTAATATATATGGGCCCTTGCTTTTACCGACTGTGGAAATCATGTTGGCTGTTGGTAATTTATTGCCAAAGGAAGTGATAGGGCAAATATTTTGACCTATACACTTGACAAATTGGAATGGCACTAAATTCTTGTGCTCATCCTAATAATTCATGTAAGACATCGAAAAGATAAATAAGTGTCTCATTCATGAAACAAATTATTGTAAGTTTGTCTCAGTAGAGACAAAAATATCCAGGACTTTCATGAGGTGTGAAATATTGTTGTTGTATTAATACAATAATTAAGGCTCCACGTATAGTCAGGGTGATGTGGCATAATTTGGTTCAAATGCTGGTCAACAATGTATAGCAATGTCATTGTGTGCTTTGATTTACAATCACACAAATACAGATGTTATAGGATGGCCTTGAAGAGCATGTTTGACCTCTGCTGCGAGATTTGAGGCCATGTGGGTGACACTGGCTCTAATCTTGGTATACTTAAACCCTTACTTGCCAGAGGGGACTTAACTGCATGCAAGGCTTTGTCCCGAAGAGTTGCTGAACTACTGAATACACTGTGGCAGCTGGCCCTGCACCGCTGGTGTCTTGGAATGCAAAATAGGGCTAGGCTGCATGAAACTTGTACCATACTTGTTTATTCTTCTGTTAATTTCTTGGGTAATCGCACGTCCCATTGTATGCGCTGGTCACATACATCCAGCTATACCGTCCTCATGATGCAATGAATGGAAAAGTTTCTCACTTTGTTACTTCAGGGGGTGCTGCTGGGAAGCTTATTGTCATCATGTTCTTGAGTTTGTTTCAAGGTACGCTAGCGTCCTGGTCTCACCAGGTTTCACGCCAATTTTTTCCTTTGCATAACTTTGCTCTACATCTTCTTGCTCTCTACTTGCTTCAGATTCTAGAGCGGGTTTGTTCGAATGCCTACACTTGTGGAGCTCGAAATCTGCTTCACCAAGTATTGCAAAGGCTTTGTTTTTAAAATAGCGTATGTTTTTTTTCTCCACCAGTGTTATTAAAATGCTAGCAAGTAGGCTCTTCAGGATTTCGTCTACTTCTTTTAAATATCTTCCTTTCTGACCTTTCTCGTTAGATGCGACCCTGTAACATCGTCTGTACTATTACCATTTCTTGAAATGTTTAAATGTTTTTCCTAGTATTAAGAACAAGAATCGCCAAAAGGTGAAAGGTAATGCAAGTGTCTGGTTCTTTGCTCTTTGACTGAAATCTTTGAATGAAAGGTCTGGACTAGCTTCTGGCAGGTAACTGGTGCATGAAATAACATTGCCTAGGTTAAAACACCTGCTACTTTCGTGTAGTCAGCGCGATTGGTGGTAACTTGTAAGACAAATATGTCTTGCTAAGATATAAGTAATTACACAGTTCTGGCCTACCTAGCCTCCCACACTTGCATTTGTAGGGGAGTTCGTCTTTCAGCTCCCCTAAAAACGCCTGCGTGGGAAGCTATGGCCTACCCTTTCTGACAATATCAGGCATGGTAGTGGGACATCGCGTTAGATTAAGTGCTAATGTTTGCATGTGCGACTTGATGGTTTGTCTGGTTTGGTTTCACTGAAACTTTGTCGCATACTTCTATAAAAGCATGGTAGAAATTACCCTGGCTGTCGGGAACTTCAAACAAAGTGTCAACCAAGTCCTCTTTCTGTCCAGCACAAGCAAGGGAAGCTGATGTGACGTACCTCTTAATGAAAGTAAACAAAAAATGAAATATTACATGCTAATAACTTGTATGAAAACGATACTGGAGTTTCCTTTCCAAAATCACCAGACACTGATATTTGCTCTGTCAACCGAGTCCTCTTTCTGTCCAGCACAAGGAAGGGAAGCTGATGTGATGTTTCTCTTAGTGAAAGTAAACAGAAATGAAATGATGTGTAAATATCTTGTTTGAAAGTGACACAGGGGTTTCCTTTCCAAATCACAGGACATTGATCTTTGCTCTCTTAACCCTCCCCATGCCCCTCCCCCACTGCCGTTTTTGCTCTCTACGAACACTCGTCTCAGTTTCTGGCACAAGACGTCTAGCTGGCCATTAATATTACACTTCCTTCAACTTTTTATTAGCCTTTGAGATGTTATTTGATTTTCACCTTAACCAGCCACCAATTTTGTATTTGTACTACTTTAGTATAAAGATCAGTTTCATCTCCTATTTGAAACATGGATATTCAAACAATTTGTAATAACTATATTTTCTTATGAATGGAAGCACTTCTGAGAAAACCTGTTTGTGAAATCGCAGAATGCATATCTTTTTCAGCAACTGTTGTCTGCTGTTTTGAGTACAGCAGGCAGTTGAGCTTGGCGTTGGACTACCAACTTTGTCCGTCAGGTTTACATATCACAAAGGCCTGGCAGAAGGCATCTTGTGCACAAAAGGAACCACACTGTGTACTATTAGAGGCCTTGAATTCACAACGACGTGAGTTGCTTTGACTTTGAGGTGATACAAAATAATTTTTTTTCTCCTTGAAGTCGTGCCAGAAACACAACCGTTTTGGCTAGTTTTGCATTATCGTAAATAACTTGTAATTTTCCTTTGATGCCAAATAGCTTGTAACCTTTCCAGAGCTGTATTCCAAGCATCTGGGGCGTATACTGAACTGCCACACAGTTCTCTTCCGGAAGAAAAATAGTTGAACAAGGAGTCCCATCTATGTCTGGCAAATGTCTATAGCATGAAAAGAGAAAAAAAAATCAATTTTGACACAGAGAAGAGTAGGAAAGTATTCCAGTGCTAATCGTTCTTCTCAGTAAATACAGTGTGCTGAAATCTGAAAAACAATAAACACGTAGTTTTTGTCTCGAAGGGTTCATGACATAAACCATAACTGCGCTGCTGAATACCTTTTATTGGTCTATTTTATATGCGATATTATCAAGTTGTTATGATGCAATAGTTTCGACCTTTTCTTTTGAATTGTAGAACAATGTTTTGTTTAAAAAAAAAAAACCCTATACAACATTACCAAACTGCAGTATTCCAACACCGTTCACAAAAGTTCCCAGATGAATGCTGTCATCACACGAATCTACCCGTCCCTCGTCTTTCAGAGCCTGGCAATAAATCTTGGATGCGTTTATCAGCCTCTCTCTTGCAATGTCTATGTTAACCTCAGAAAGATGTTTAGAATATCTTTCAGTAAACAGATTGTGAGTGACTAACAAAGAGTAACTTATTGAAACCGGACTCTCCTGGACAGAGGACGCCCACGTCAAAGCATTGCCGTTACTGTGTGGGGCCGCTACAACGGTGATGGTACTTGTTTGCACTGACTTCTGAAAATTGGAAGCCGCAGATCTTTGCTCTTTATCCATCGAAAATCCCCCTCCAACACTAATTACCGGTATCCCTGAATAGCGGCTTGCATCTCTACACTTATTTTCGTGCTTCTGAGCTCTTCGTATTTTGTCTGGCTGACTTTGTGGTTTTTCATGAATCGTGCTCCGAACGTTACCTCCGTCAGGTAATGAGTTCCATAGTATTTAATGAAATGGCAACAGTCCCACACACGACAATCAGGCACCACATGTTGGTTCTGCCTGCTCGCTTTTCCTTTTCCTTGCTTCTAGCGCCACGTTGTTTTGCATGTGTCCTAGTCAAGGTCACACGAGGAATACCTTCTTCTACTATTAGGTCGTCTTTTACGTGCTTTTTTATTTGACGCTTAAGGTCGTATCCATAAAAGACGTCGCCTTTCATCCAACCGGTGCACTTTCTATGATGGCTTCTTTTCTGCTGCTGCGTTGTCTCTACGGGCTGTTTATCATCGCTCTGGCCACCTCTTAAATGAACACTTGCTATTTTCTCTTGGAATCACTGGCTAAGTCTGGTAATCTTCGCGAGAAATTAGGTGTTTCTTCAAGAGGAAAAAAACAACATTCTCAGAGTTTCAGAGTGAAAGTCTTGTAACGAATTTCAAGTTTAAACAACATTCATCGTCATCTTCTGGGATGTGGGTTGCAAAGTTTCTAGGCTTATGAGAAAAAGCAAGTAGTTACCTGGTTCCAGAATAAGCGGGCATGAGAGTGGAAACGAGCGGGGCTAGAACTCCCGCGACACAGAGCAAAGTGCATATTTAACGTTGAAGCCAACTGACTACAATTGCAAAAATGTGTGAAGGAAGGCATGCGAAGCTCACCTTATTCACAAAGCCAACACACTTTAGTCTCAGGGCACAGGTACAGGTCCAGTTGCAATGGAAAACTTGTATAATAGTAGGTCCCTTGTGTTGGTGAATTCAATGCCACTGAGCTGCTTTCCCTGTGATGCCTGTGTTATGGCGTTCATGCCCTCGACGTGTGGTTTGGAGCTGTTTACCACCTCTATTTGCTCTGCTGTAACTACTGTAATAAGCACATCACATTCACAAATGTGAAAGTGTTTGTCCTGCGCAAATTCTCACTTGCAATTTCTTATTCTTCTTTTCTTCAAGTTAAGGGTCTACGCATTTCTACCATATGCCATGTGCCTATTTTAAACATGGATATTCAAACAATTTGTAATAACTATATTTTCTTATGAATGGAAGCACTTCTGAGAAAACCTGTTTGTGAAATCACAGAATGCATATCTTTTTCAGCAGCTGTTGTCTGCTGTTTTGAGTACAACAGGCAGTTGAGCTTGGCGTTGGACTACCAACTTTGTCCGTCAGGTTTACATATCACAAAGGCCTGGCAGAAGGCATCTTGTGCACAAAAGGAACCACACTGTGTACTATTAGAGGCCTTGAATTCACAACGACGTGAGTTGCTTTGACTTTGAGGTGATACAAAATAATTTTTTTTCTCTTTGAAGTCGTGCCAGAAACACAACCGTTTTGGCTAGTTTTGCATTATCGTAAATAACTTGTAATTTTCCTTTGATGCCAAATAGCTTGTAACCTTTCCAGAGATGTATTCCAAGCATCTGGGGCGTATACTGAACTGCCACACAGTTCTCTTCCGGAAGAAAAATAGTTGAACAAGGAGTCCCATCTATGTCTGGCAAATGTCTATAGCATGAAAAGAGAAAAAAAAATCAATTTTGACACAGAGAAGAGTAGGAAAGTATTCCAGTGCTAATCGTTCTTCTCAGTAAATACAGTGTGCTGAAATCTGAAAAACAATATTTTGACTCCACTACACAACATCAACAGACAAAACGTAATGGCAAATAAGCTTATTTTGGGACGGCTTGGCGAGAACCAACCCTACAAAGTACTAATGTAAATACAATAATAGGTGATTACTGGTGAATACCTAATGTACAGCACTCGTAAACTAGCTTTCACGAA